GCCTCTGCCTCCCCAGTGCTGGGATTAAAGGCGTGTGCCACCATGCCCGGCACTTTTATTTTTTAAATATTTTAGTTATTATTTTTATGTGTATGAGTGTATTGCCTGCGTGTATGTGAGTGCACCCATGTCATGCAATGCCACAGAGGTCAGAAGAGGGCGTCGGATTCCCCTGGAACTGGAGTTAAGGACAGTTTGTCGCTGTCATGTGGGTGCTGGGAATTGAACCAGGGTCCTCTGCAAGAGCAGTCAATGCTCTTAACCACTGAGCCATCTCTCCAGCCTTGACACTACTTTTAAAAGAAGGAGAGATGGCTCAGCTGTTAAGAGCTACTATTGCTCTTGCAGAGTATCGAGTTTCAGGTCCCAGCATCCACATGACTCCAGGTCCAGGGGATCAGATCCAACACCCTCTTCTGACCTCCACAGGCCCAGCATAACACTGATATATATATATATTTTTTATTTTAAAAAATGAAACCCAAGAACCAAAAGGAATGCATCGCTTCCTTGGAATTTGTAATTACAACATTATGGGACTTTGAAGGAGGTTCAGTTTACTCTACTATCCAAAGTATCTCTAGATCTTTAAAGGTCTATGTTAAGGTGAAACGTGTAAATGAAATACATTCTAATTTGAAGAAAAAGATGGTACATTCACAAGGGCTTCTCTAATCCAGAAAGAAATGGGCACATCAGTCTATTTAGTTATTCCCATTTCTAGCCACTGTGTGGTCCACCTTGCACATTCAAGATATTCTTTGCACACAATAAGACTTTACTTTTATAAATTTTTTTAGTTAATTTATTTAACAATTAAGACCATAAGACCACATCATACCAGCATTTACACGCTGATATTAACTTTGTAAATCCTGTATGGTTGATGCGATATATGCATTCAGATTGGGATGGTTAAAATGTGGATTACAAGTTCATAACTGCTGTGTTCACAAGCTTCAAGCACAGACATAGGACTGGTGAAGGATCATCTCAGGGAAAGAGACCATGGGCCCAAAGTTCTAGACAAATCGTCTACATGAATTTTGAAACCTTCTCCCACCCCCTTAGTGACAAGAGTGGGACTGAAGGAAAGAAAGATCTAGGAGCTAAAGCAATCATGGAATCTGTGTGCAGCAGAGAAGCAGTGTGCTCTGTAAACGGTGTGTGGAAAAGACTGATGAATCACATTGCTAGGACTCATGCGGGTGGAAGAGGAAATGCTTCAGAACCAGAATTGGGAAACAAGAACACACCAACCTGCCCACCCCTTCTATGCCCCCCCCACGCCACAAATGCCATGGAGGAAGGTGTCACAAAAGAAGAGTGCCATGTCATTCAGGGTTATCAAGCAGATAAAGAAAGCAGGCAGGGTAGGATGGAACTGTGGAGCAGTTTGCAGGTGAGGTGATGAGTTCTGGGATGCTTCAAGGAATAAGAGGAACCTAAGAGATAGGAAAAATAATTCTGATGTGTCTTAGTTACTTTTCTGATGCTGTGATAAAATATCATGAACTAGGCAAAGTATAGAACCAAATTTATTTGGGCATGGGTCCAGGGGACTAAATGTCAATCATGGGGGAGAAGCACAGCAGGACATAGCCCAAGAAAAAGCTGAGAGCTCACATCTTTAAGCACACACAAGGATGGGGGGGAAGAGAGAGAGAGAGAGAGAGAGAGAGAGAGAGAGAGAGAGAAGAGATTGGCAATGGGACCAGGCTATGAACTCTCACAGCCCATTCCCAGTGAGTGACATGCTTTCTAAAGCAAGGCCACACATCCTAAACCTTTGCATCACCAGCTGGGAGCCAAGGGCTCAAATACATGAGCCTATGGCAGACATTTCTTCTTCAAACCACCACAAGAAGTGTGACTTCTTTATGGCCTTACCTGTGTTTCCTTTTGCAGTACACCAAAAGATTATCGAAAAGAAAAAACACCCGTTCCTGAATATTTCCAGAAGAAATTTTCAGTAACACTCCACACATCAGCATCTCAGTGCAGGTATCAGTAATGTTGGATCCCTGAATCAGGAAAAGAGAAAAATTGGAGTGTCTGATTACTTCATTTTTTTAATTTGTTTTTGTGGTTCTGAAGATGTGATGAATGGCATCATGAAAATTAGACACTGTATACTGAGGCACACCCACCGCCCTGACTGAATTTTTGTACTCAATTATTCTTTTCTTTAAAACTGCACTTGTTTTTATTAAGGGGCAATATATGTACCAGATTAATTTCAAACAGTAAAAGTAGTTCGGCAAATATAGTCTGTCTCATTTGTTGTTCACCTGGCCGGTCACACAGGCACTCTGGGTCTGCCTCAAGACAACTGATGGTACCTCAGCATATAGAATCATGTGATCTGCCTTATTAGGGAAGATCATGTCAAAGCCATTCATTACATTAATGGTCACACTTTTCCTTTCTTCTTTGTTTTTCCCTATTGGGAAAAAGATCTATGAACACTTAACAAAGTACATAAAAGTTACCGAAATTATTAGAGGGTATCAATTTATAGATCTACTCTAAGTATGGAGAAGGAAAAAGAATGAGAAAGAAAAAAAAAAAAAAAACAGAAAAATGGAACGCTGGCTCCTCTTTCAGAAGACTTGAGTTTGGTTCCCAGCACCCATGTCAGAAAGCTCACAACTCGAAACTCCAGCTCCAGAGAATCCAAAGCCCTGTTCTGTCCTCCAGGGACACTACACTCATGTGCATATACCCACACATAGACACACATATAATTAAATAAAATAAATCATTTAATTAAAAACAGAATACTTTTAGGAAGCTTGGCAAAGGCCCTCCATCCTATATATTAAAGGAATACACTTATCTAAATAAGGCCTCGAGTGCTGACAAAGGCTCAAGAATCAGTGAGAAAGCAGATTCTTCACACAGAGCTAGCCTTGAGAGAGTGAAAGGAAGCACCAGAGGGAAGCAGCCAGCCCTGAGGCTTCAGCAGAAAGCTCTGCATAGAAGGAACGTCAGCGCACACAGCTCAGAGCAGAGCACTGGACTCCTGCAGGGCTGCTGCATCCACTCTCATCTTCCATCAGCTCTGTCATCCATTTGCTCCTATGTAACCTATCATAACAGACGCACTGAGTTGGATTTTTTGAAAAGACAGTGGACATTTTCAGTAGCAATCTGTAACTGTTCTCATTGGCAACGATGTTTCAGCTTTAAATGTGTCTGGTTTCTTTTAATCTGTTGGTAAATTTCTGGTTCTTGTCTAAATCAATGTTTCTATCTTTTGGCATTGATATTTAAATTTCAGAACACTAATTTTAAAGTTTAACATATTCACAATAATTATTAGTATACATTTTGTAGTCAGTTGTTAAGAATTACATTAAAATTAAGATCTATAATAAAGAATTCTAAAATGAAAGCAAAGGGAAAGAGTTACTGTGTTCACTTGTTTATCTATATTACAAACATATTATGTTTTGGAAATTTCCTTTTAAAAGGCGCACGCCTTTAATCCCAGCACTCGGGAGGCAGAGGCAGGCGAATCTCTGTGAGTTCAAGGCCAGCCTGGTCTACATAGCAGTTCCAGGCCAGC